CACGGTAGTGGCATTACTGCCTTGATTCTAATACACGGTAGTGGCATTACTGCCTTGATTCTAATACACGGTAGTGGCATTACTGCCTTGATTATCATCAATCGTGATGAAATATCTGGCTTGATTATTAACTACCGTGTAAGCGTACTTACCTTCATTGTTCCCACTCAGGACGATGACACTGCGTCATCTTGTTCAGTCGATAGTCTTCATTCTAAGGGATCTTAGAATAATATTATTGGCGTCTTCGTGAATAAATGTTGGAAAATGTTTAATATTTTAGCTTCTTAGTTTTTGTGCATGATGAAGTGACCTGAAGCGCTAGTTATTGTGGCCGCTAATTCACCTAACTATTTATTCCTGCTATTGGATATGCGAATGATGGCTCCATTATGGCATTGTGTGCTCAAGCACAATATTATACTAATATGTTGAATATTTTTCTCTATGAGGGTACAATATTATTCTAGATGTGGGTACAATGTTACATTAGATGTTGGTACAACATTATGGATGTGGGTATTAATACTGTAATAGGCGTTTGTACTGGATGTGAGTACAATATTGTAATTGACATTTATACAGTATGGTACCGGATGCGAGTACAATGTTGTAATAGACGTTTCTGCACTATTGTACCGGATGTGAGTACAATATTGTAATAGACGTTTCTACACTATTGTACCGGATGCGAGTACAATATTGTAATAGACGTTTGTCCATTATTGTTCTGAATGTCACAATTGTACGCTCACTTAGGGCACAAAGTTTGTTGCAATACACAAGCCTGCTCTGCTCGCTTTTGTGAAGTATATGTGTTCTTCTTATGAAATGTGTTACTTACGATAAGATTATTTTTTGATTTGTTGTGTGTTGTGCTAATGAATCTGGAAGTATGCTAGTATTGTTAGAACAGTTTCTGCATATATAGTGGGATTTAAAGCTGTTCATTGCATGTAAATTTATTTGCACAAGTAGAACCAATTCTGCGGGTGTTGCGACAGAAACTTGATGCAACGACTCGGGAGTTGCGACTCGTATGTATACAACGCTCCTATTGTCCGTAGCTTCTTTATTAATTATGTTCTCATTCTTGTTGTTGTTGTTTATTGGAAATACATCGAATGGCAAACCTTTCGATATCGCTCGATGTTATTTTAAGACGGGAAAGCTTTTTGTTTAACAATAAGGGGGCAAGTGCAATAAGAGTTTGTTCCTAATTTAAGTCCTGTGGATTTGCTGGAGTCGATGCTCGAGCTAAATGAGCCAAATGCTGGGTGGTAATAAATTCACTTGTAAGCAGAAAATATATTTTATAAATTCATAGTTTAATCCGTATATAAAAGGCCTGACCATATGTGACCAGGTTAAACATGTGCCTTAACTTGTTCCGATCTTAATTTTAACGAACATACAAGTTCTGTGCAACAAACGTGAATTTAATGCATACATCACAGGGGCTTTTCACTATCCTGTTATTGTACTTTATATTTGTACTGTACTGCAGGCTTCTTACTCTAACCGCTTTATAAGTAGTAAATCGCAAAATTTGATCACAGTTTCAAGGTAAATAGCACTTTATAACTAGACTTATGGTAATCATGTAATAACTGGAATCAATAAAATTTATAGCGCTAAAGTAGGATTGCCAGATGTGAATAATACTAGGCGCTAGAGTAATATTATGACGCTTTTTGAGACGTAACTATATTCGCCCCCTGGCGTCATGTTTACATCTCATGGAGGGCGGCGAGCTGACCGGTAGCGCGCTGCGTGAGGATGGTGAGCAGCGACACGTGCCTCCTCACCTCCTCCTGGCGCGCGGCCAACTGAGCATCGCTGAGCGTGTCGTAGTCGTGCATGAGGTCAGCGATGCCCGGCAGCCCCGCCGAGGCGTAGTTGTCGTACTGACTTGGCGCGAACACCGCGTGCCTGCCGTACGATGATTACGTCACGAATATACGAAAAATAATTCAACATTAGTTAAAAATTTTATGATGTGCAGACGGCCTTTTGCATTACGTACCTGATAACGGGCACTGTGTGACCGGCTTACATCTACAATACAAGGTGCTGTTACCGTTCGACTGCAGAGGGACGGGCGTACTATGTGCTTAGTACCATGACGACCCTAGGACGTACCTGGGAACGGACGTATCTGGCAACGGGCGTACCACGTACATAGTACCATGACGTACCTGGTAACGGGCCGGCCCGGTAGGCCCTCAGGGATCAGGAAGCTCTGCTCGAACGTCATCATTTGGTCGTTGGCGAGCCGCAGGCTGTACGGCCTGTAGAGATTAACGTGACGGGATTAACATTCGGATGATACACATTTAATATGAATGATGTATCATATATGTTATTCTGAACTAGTATACACTGATATATTTAATATGTATGATACATCGTGTACATTATTCTGAACTGGTGTATATACTGGTATGTTTAATCTGAATGATGTATCGTATACATTATTCTGAACTGGTGTATACTGGTATGTTTAATCGGAATGATGTTCATTATTCTGAACTGGTATATTTAATCTGAATGATGTACATTATTCTGAACTATTATACACTGGTATGTTTAATCTGAATGATGTACATTATACAAGTTGGGACCATCAGGTATAACTAAACCATTAAGTGGACAAGTAACTATGATATTTATTAATTATATGTTCTATACGATAACGCCATTTCACTTAAATTTATACTTTTATAATTCTTGAGAGCTATTAGTTTCATGCTCCTATGCCAAAGTATGAGGTGTATTTTTCATACACTAAATATATACGCCTAGGTTTTATTCATGATGCATGGGTATGACTATGGGTATGGGTATGACTCGTACACTCACTCCCAGGTCTTGTTGAGGTTGTCAGCGTTGAACTTCTCCGTGGCCAACGTCAAATTATCTACAGCTTCATACAGGTATACTGCAAACACAATGTTGATATCAGGTAGAAGAAATGAGGTTATCTGGCATAATTATTACTCAAGTCATAGTTATTGAATTGCATAAAGAATGTTAAACATTCTGCTTCTGCAACTAAATTAGATATCTTGATGATTGAATGCCGGAGGTTCCAAATAAATTAAAAGTTTTTCAAAACGAGTAATATTATACGACGTCCCTGACATGATTATCGAAAATAAATACAATTTGATAGAGCCATGTCCATTTGACCATCTGTGCACCCGCAAGAAATGTAACCTATATACACCATCTTCAACCTCCACACCATAATTGAATGAAATTACACATTATCTGCTACCTCCACACCATATTTTTTATGGAATTTCACCCTATCTTTCACCTCCACACCATAATTTTATGAAAATGCACCCTGTCTTCACCTCCACACCACAATCCCAACAGCCCATACACAAAACTTCTCATAACGCACCATAATCTTCATAAAAATCCATTATTTTCTTTTCGACTCCGCTGTCATTGAAGCTCTTGAGCGCCTCTTTCATGGCCTCAGGGAACCTGTGGATCCCAAAGGGCAGGAGCGGCGAGTCCGCGAGGGCCTTAATGAGGAGAGACGCCACGCGGCCGCACCCCTGGCCGAATATGAAGCCTGGGTCGTTGTGGTCTCGAACCATCTCGAACGTCTCGAAGCCCGTGTGGTAGCTCGGGTAGATGCTGATGTTGTGCACCTTCTGTACATGCAAGGGGGTTGGTTACTGTCACGGTAGGTGCCTCAACTCATTGGTTACTGTCATGGTAGGTGCCTGAAGTCATTGGTTACTGTCATGGTAGGCGCCTCAACCATTACACTTGTGCTGCCTAAACCAGTAATGCGGCAATGCCAGCACATAAGTTATTCTAGACACTTTTTGACCCCGCTAATGGGTTGGTACCTGCGACCCTCATGGTATTGACTCGATCACACATTTATTGGTATTATCTCAACCATCCACTTGGTTGTAGTGCCAACACAGGACTTATTTTTGCAGATTTTGCCAATAAAACAAATTTTTACAATAAAACACCTAACCACCCACCTTGTCCCGCCTCAACCACCCACCTTCTCCCGCCTGAACCACCCACCTTGTCCCGCCTCAACCACCCACCCTGTCCCGCCTGAGCCCCTCAGGGGGGACTTCTGACGGGTGTCTGTACCCGTCAGAAGTCCTATGGGATTTCGCGCTCCTAGGGGGATTGTTCCTGAGCGCCCCACCGCTGAGCTCGCGGTGTCTGACTGCAGGTCTCAGTTGTGGGGTTAAGTTATTATGTAGGTAGGATTCCTTGCATTTTGGGACTTCTGGAACAGCCAAATCCCCCTGCAGACGTGGAGCTACATGGATGCGTCTCCAAAGCTCCAATAAGCATCAAACAAACAAACAAACAATTCAGTGACTCTGTCACTGAAATCTGCACGGGATGACTGTCGAAGACCACCAGTGCCGTGCTTCAAAAGGACTTTCATTGTATTAATTCAACCATGGACTTTCATAATCTCTTCCTAATCTTTAAAAGGGACTTTCATAGCCTATTACACTTCTTGACTCAAGTTGACAACTTGACTGTAACATTATCAGCCGCAAGGCGCAAACCACCAGACAGATCACATCCATTGAATTGAATAAGAGCCCACGGAAAAGTAGTATGGCCCAGCGTCGTCTGCCAATAGTGCAGTGGATATGGTGCTTGCAGCCGACCTGTCACCTGTCAATCTGTCAGACTCAGATTGACTGAGTCTTGTTTGTCGTATCACTGTATCAGCCTGAGTCAGCCTACGGGGCATGGGCCAGGCTATGATCAAATGGCCACTCATTGAGTCATTGTACTGATTGTTACAGATTGTAGAATGATGAATTTTGGAACACAGGAACAGAACTATCAACTATGTTATCTGAAACCTAACGGCTAACCCAAGATGTTGTGAGCTAAAAGTTGAGGAATTTAACATAGCTGTGAGCCTGATAGTCACTTCTCACTTGTTGAAGGACAAAAGACGTTACATTTTGGAACAATGGAACAGAACTATACTAGTATACTAGCCTATCTAAAACCTATTACCTAACTACAGTCCACACTCAGCATAGTGACAAACCAGAGATTTTTTAGAATCAGTTCATTTTTAATTTCCTCATTTACCCAAGATTTAAACCAATTTCTTATGTATGATGA